ACAATGCTCATTAATTACTATGATTGAGAATGAAATCATAAGATGTGTTTGGAGATAGTAATCACTCTTGTATGAAATTACAAAATATTCTTAAATGATACTAAGAAATTGTTAATAATTTAGTTAGGGTGATATAGTATCGGGGTTGTTTTTTTAAAGCCTTTTTCTAGTAGATTACAAAATATAGGCATGAAGTAAATATGACAAGATATTAACAATTGTATCTAGGTGATGGATATATCAACATTTTGATATATTCTCCCTGTTTTTTCTGTACTTGAAATTTTTCATAATAAAATTTTTTAAAATATTAATGTTAGCACAAAATTGCTCCCCCATATCTTCTAAAATCAGATAGAGACAATTGACAGAGGAAGAGATGTTTTCATTAAATCCATTCTACTGGAAAAAGGATTTCTGAAGTAATTTTTTAAAGTTTTATTCTGAAAGGTAAAACAACCATAAGTTGCATATTTATTTATGTGTTTAAAATAAAATCTGTGAATAAAGTAATATTTTTCTGCTTTGCTTTTCAGTGGAATATTTCAGATTATTTTTTCCAAAGAGGGGAAACTATTGAAAAAGAATTAAATAAAGAAGAAGCAGCACAGCAAAAGCAGGCAGAAGAGAAAGGAGTGGTTTTAAATCGGCCTTTTCACCCTGCACCACCGTTTGATTGCTTGTGGTTGTGTCTTTATGCAAAATTAGGAGAACTATGTGTGGACCCCCGACCTGCTGTCAGGAAGAGTGCAGGGCAAACTCTGTTTTCAACAATTGGTGCACATGGAACTTTATTACAGCATTCAACGTGGCACACTGTTATTTGGAAGGTATTGTAAAATAACTTGAGTTACCAGCTTTTAATTGGAACACACTTACACGCTTTTTCAATTAAACTTATTCCTATTCATTTTTAAAGCATTTCCGTGCATTTGACAAAACAGAAAGCATTAGCTTTGTCGAATTTTAAGTTGCACCGTATGCAGAACAAATTAAATATTTAAATCTCTCTTTTTCTGTTCATCTCTTGTCTCTGTCTCTGATTTCTGCCTTTGCCCTTCCTTTTTCTCCTTCCATTTTTCCAAGTGGTAAAACTAGGAGTTGCTAAACCACTACATTGTAATTCAAATATAATATAACCAAATGAGAACTTTATAAAGAAAAGAATATCAACAGCAGTGAAATTTACTTGCAGAATCACTAAACAAAAGTAGCCTCCAGTTGGTAGTCTACATGTTCATTCATTAAATAT